CTCTCATGTTAATCAGGACAAACAGTATCCCACAGTTGTTTATGTTTTTAAACCCATTTTGCACAGAGAGGCATTTTTTGAAAAATGTATTGATAGCAATGTTGAATATTATTACACATGAAAAAAAATAAAAACTACACATAAAATAATCACACCCTGACGCCTCTGCCTTTCTAAATGGAGGGACAGTAACTGCGTGTGTATATGTAAGATGTGTAAAACCTGAAGATAGTCAGATTAACAGTATTTTGTCTCTATCTGCCATTCTGCAATTCATCTCATGTGTTACAGGCATGGTCCTTTAAGGGTGAAGCCTGATGGGAAATGTATGCGGGTGTGTGTAGCGGAACTGTCTGTCGAGTGGGAGAGGGTGAGCGGAGAAGGAAAAGAAAAGTAACGGTTAACTACAGAAGAGACGAAGAGAAAGTAAATAAAAGGAATATAATAACTCCCTCGGCAGCCAAAGTTGTATCGGCGATGCCCGCTGTGAGTAAACTGTTTCAGCCCACTGTACGCGGTGTTCGTGCCTTGGAGGAGAAATAAAGGTTCGGTAAAGCAGTTTCCTACGCCTCCCTCGATCTTCTTGCTAGCGGAGTTGACCTGTATAGTAAGCTGTTGCCGGCTGCGAGTCAAGTAACTACCAGAGGTTTCCTTACTACGGTTCGGGGCCGCGGATCTGGCGCGGTAACACTGGGGGCTCGTCCGGGATATAATGATCCCCTATGCTGTCATGGCTTATCGGGCAACTAAGCACAGTTCCACAGGATTGACCCCAAACATGATGCTTCTGGGCCGAGAGATAACCGAGCCTATTGACCTGGTCGCGGGTCTGCCGGCCGACGACACCCCCAACTGCACTACACCACAGTATGTGGTGCAACTCAGGGAAAGGCTGGAGCTTTCCCACCAACTGGCACGGGAGGCTCTCGGGAAATCTGTTGAGCGCGCTAAGAAACAGTACGATAAGAATATCTGCCAAGTTCAGTATCCAGTCGGCGCTGCAGTGTGGCATCTGATCAAAGGGACCAAGAGAGTGCGGCACAAGGTTCGCAAGTTTCTGCCTTCCTATGAGGGCCCCTACTTCGTAGTGGGCCTGTTGGATGATTTAGTCTACTGCATTAAAAAGGGGCCCCGAGCAAAGGCTAAAGTGGTTCATCACGACAGACTCAAGCCTTACCACTCAAGAACGCCGCTGGACAACAGCTGGGTCTTCCAAGACTCCGACCAGGCAGCACCCACCGAGGTGCCTCCTCCAGCGCTCGACGAAAGCGATTCTGACATTGATTTCGGCCCCTTCGACTTGTGGGAGACCCCAGCTGGGGCAGATCAACCAGATACTGGTGCTTCCCTGAGAACTGGCTCTCCGCCACCCGCTCAAGGAGATGGTAGTGGGTTGCCAGCCAGCCCTGTTCAGCCTTACGTGGATGGGGCTGAAGGACCAGAACAGCACCCTTCCTTCAGGTCCACACCCCGTTCCAGACCACAGCATGTGCGGCGGGCGCCGGACATGCTTGGTGACTGGGTCAGTCACTAGGCTAGTATGTCCTAACTGAGTCGGGGTGTAGGCGGATCGCTGCCCTGCTCAGTAGTTCAAAAAAAAAAAAAAAAAAAAAAAAAAAAAAAAGAAATTTTTTTTTTTCATGTTACATATGTTAAGTGATATGACTGTTGTAAATTGAGTTGCGTGTACTGTTGGGCTTGTTTGTCTTGCTGTTTTCTGGCAACATGGCTGTCGACAGGCTGCAAGTTATTGTTTGAACTGTTTATACTAATGAGGTAAAGCTGGATATAGGGGTAAACGTTCAGCTGTAGTGCCTTAATGTCTTTCTTTATGAATACTGTCTATGTGAAGGGCGGGATATGGACATTGACTTGCACCCTCCTCAAAGTGAACCCTGTACATCCTATGTTTTCTTGTGCTTAAAATATGGACAATTGTCTACTTCAAGATTGTTCCATCCTAAGGATCGCCATTTTTGGACTGGGGGCACGACTGCTGTCCCGCATTGAATGCTGTATGTTTCCTTGTTAATGGGGGGTTCATGTGCTGGAATGATGTTAAGGGTTTAATTATCATCCAGAGTGGGGGTAGTGTTACAGGCATGGTCCTTTAAGGGTGAAGCCTGATGGGAAATGTATGCGGGTGTGTGTAGCAGAACTGTCTGTCGAGTGGGGGAGGGTGAGCGGAGAAGGAAAAGAAAAGTAACGGTTAACTACAGAAGAGACGAAGAGAAAGTAAATAAAAGGAATATAATAACTCCCTCGGCAGCCAAAGTTGTATCGGCGATGCCCGCTGTGAGTAAACTGTTTCAGCCCACTGTACGCGGTGTTCGTGCCTTGGAGGAGAAATAAAGGTTCGGTAAAGCAGTTTCCTACGCCTCCCTCGATCTTCTTGCTAGCGGAGTTGACCTGTATAGTAAGCTGTTGCCGGCTGCGAGTCAAGTAACTGCCAGAGGTTTCCTTACTACGGTTCGGGGCCGCGGATCTGGCGCGGTAACACATGTAAAAAATAACGTGTGCACAGCGTGACGTGAAAAAGGCACATACCTTTGACATTGCGTGACCAACTCTGTATTCCTCGTCCACACATAAAGACAAAAAAGGAGTTTAAAAAATCTCCGTTTTCGGTGATTCGAAACGCCGTTTACGTGTGGACGAAACAGCTGCGTTTTCAAAAATACCTGTGTAGGTGCGACGCAGCGTAAAAGAGTTAGTAGTTTATTTTTTTACTATTTATTGCAGATTACTTGTATTTGCTTAATTGTTTACTAAATGTTTGAGGTGTGAAATAAACCGCAATGGAGCAAAATATGGGCGTGTGTGGTTGGAGGATGTGTTAGTGCGTGCGCGCGTGCACGCGCGAGAAGGGGGAGGGCGCGAACATTTTTCTTGTAAAACAAGGGGAAGCCCAGCAAAAAAAGTTTGGGAACCACTGCGTCAGGTGAATTGATGATGGTGAATCTTGATTACCTGTGCTGGTTGTCTGTCTCGCTGTGTGAGACTGGCGAAATGCTCACCACACCAAAGTATAAGTTTTTAAATGAACTTAAAACAATCATGGAACGGATTTCCACATTAATAAATGTTTTTCTATTAGCAGTAAGTCAATTGATTTAAGTTGGACTCAACTGCAAAAGTTGAATAAATTGATGATGAACCAACTAAGTTGGTCCAGCTCAAGTACCTTAAGCTGGACCAACAAAATTGCGTAATGCTAATCACATGGGAATCCTTTCCATGATTTTATTATGTTCATTCAAATTGTTATTTATTGAGTGTGTAAGAAAAAGCAGGTTTACTGAAACCACAGAAACTCAGATGAGTCACTGGAGTAACAAGCTGTGTGAAGCTAACCTACTGGGTGATGGGTTTTCTTCAACAAACTGAAGAAACTTCATTTCTTCATTTCTTTCGTCTTCATTTCCTCATTCAGTATAAAAAAATATAGGAGAGTGGTAATATGCAGAAGTTTGCATTATTACCCTGTTAGATGAGTGTTCATAATTAGTCATCACAGATGAATCACTTGACAGTCTGCATCTATTTAAAACTTTGGACGGTAAGAAAGGTGTCGGGTTATGAAATAAATACAATAGCTTATTGTCACGATAACTATTTAAATAAAACGTATCTGTATGAAGTTTTAGACTGATTGATAAAGAGCATTTGTCGTGCAGTGATCAGTCACTCTGATAGAAAATTGCCTGGCATCTTTACGTCTAAAATTTGTATTAAGGGTAATCTGTAAAAGTGTCAACACAGTGTGAACACTCCTTTGTGCATATTATTTCTCTGTGGAATGTTTCTGCCTGCCACGTGCCCTGTTCATGACACGGGTGTTTTCTTCTTCTAAATATTGTTAAAATCATCAAAAGGATGACTGTGTATTTGGCTTTCTATTTATAATATTGTAAGGTGTTTATCTTGAATTAAAGTGCCTACAGATGACTGCTGTTGGTGTTTGACCATATTTAAAACTCATCTGATTGTAATACAGGGAAATGTTGGTTTTTACAAATAATAACTGGGCGTGTTGTTTTTGCTCATTTGCATCTTTTATTCATTCAGCTTTCTTGACATATTGCATGCAGCTGCTCTGCAGTGACGCTTTTTGGCCACAATTACTTTTTCCTAATGTTTAAAGCTGTGAAGTCAAACATTTGGAGTTGTACACGATTGTCATCAGATTGTGTGGTGAAATTTTCTAAACTAAAAATATTTTGAAGTAGGGCTTCATGATGTGGGAAGACAGAAATCAAAAACACTTTTGCCTTTTCTCTGCCATCATTTCCCCTAAAAAGCTAAATAAAGCAAACAGATTTCTGTGGCTTAACAAAAGTTTTTGCTTTTTCTTTTTAGTGTGTAACTGTGGACAGACTTCATTGAGCTCTTTAAACACACTTTCATGCTTACAACATTGCAGGAATCATACACTGATTTCACTAAAGCATTTGTATTTTAGTTGTTTGGCATCTTCTCACGAGACACTCAGTTTCCCTCTTGGGTCCACCTGATGCATCTAAAACCATCCTCGCAGTCACATTTCATATCAGACGTACTGGTGCAGTTCTGAACCACTTTAAAATGAAACTCTGAGAAAGAGTGAAATAGAGATTATTATAAAGAGTACTCTAGAACATAGAAAAGCATTTCCTTTGTGACACTTTCATGTCAGCTTGATGGCATTGCACTTTTTTAGAGAGCATAAAGATTTCCAGGAATATTTTCAAACCTGTTCATATTAGACAAGTTTTGCATATTCATGGCAACTTGAGAGGAACTTGTTCTCAGAATGATCTGATAATAACGGGAGCCAGAGCTAATTTTACAGATCCTGTCAGCTATTTTTTTTCTTTTGTTTTTTAATGGCTGCGGTAAAGTTGTTTGCTTTGACACTGGTCATTTTCTCAGCTTTAGAAGTTGTTTTGTTTGCCATGAGGCCCACTGTTGGTTTGAGCTTATATGACATGAGAATTCAAAGTGTTCTTCTCGGTACTTACTGGTTGGGGTTGGGTCTGGCATCTTCTCACAAGACAAGCAGTTCTTTTTGTCATGGGTCCACCTGATGCATCTAAAACCATCCTCGCAGTCACATTTCATATCAGACGTACTGGTGCAGTTCTGAACCACTTTAAGATGCAACTCTGAGAAAGAGTGAAATAGAGATTATTATATGGAGTAGTCATCACAGTACATGTGGAGTTACTATTAATGGTTTATCAGCTTTTTATAGAAACCCAGAGATCACGGGTATATCAAAATCCTGATAAAATCATTAAAGGTGGAAATGAAAACTTTCTTTACTAGGGTTGCAGTCTCCTAAGCAGAGATGGCATTCATCTTCATAGTTCCAGTCAGTTGTGTAACTTCCAGCAGGACAGTGTTCACATGTTGTACAATCACTCTGATACATACCTGTGAGAACAGAAAAAACAAGAGGAAAGACTTGCTGACTCGGAGTGAGTATCGGTGAAGGATGTGGTCATACTGCACGAACTCAGCCTGCGTCATTTTTCATCAATGCAGAAAATCAAAACAACACACAGACAAGAAAGAACCATACTTCACACCACGGTACCTAAACGAGATTCATATTTCTGAGTAAATGTAAACTGATGAACAGAATTTTAAAAATATTAATAGAAGCTCACATAAAGTTATCACACATTTCCTACCTGCAGGGCAAAATTTACACTCTCTCCCACCAATGTTGTAGGTGTTCTTTGGCTGTCAACACAGATAGATATAAATCACTAAAATGAAAAAGTCCTCATTAACTCATCATCCATGCCACATTCACTCATGTCAACTATTTTTCTTATTTGATAAAAGTGTATGCAGTAATTAAGGCGACTGGGTTAAAGAAAAAAAGTCTTACTGTGGGAAAGCTGAGCACCAACTGTGTGGATAACATCAGGAGGGCCACAGAGTATTGCACCAATCCCATTCTGTGGACAGATGTGAACACTACTGCGAAAAGGCCAAGGATCAAAATCTATAAAAGCTAACGCAACTACCAAGTTAATATCACAAATAAAGGTTATTACAATAAAACAATAAATGTCAAAATTAAAAGAAAAAGGAAATCTTTTCCTTCAGTATCATGTTCCTGTTGTTCAACTTCTGTTGTTTTTGCTAACTTCCTCAAAGTGTGCCCCACCCTTTTGTCTTTTTGTATCTTTCTCTGTCATCTTGCTGAACATCTGTGTTATTCTTTCTTTACCTGGTTACATATTGCTGCTTCCCACACTCCGACCCCTACCAGCCTGCTAAAACTGACTAACATTTATGCATCAAAGCTCTAAAGCCTCATCATTTCCCATATAAACTGACAGCTCATGAGGAATAAATACCCAGAATGAACCACTCTAATGTGCTTATTTGACAAAATAGAAGAGCATTTTGTTTAATCCTATCTAAGGAGTCTAAGGAGTCTGGAAACCTTCACAAACATATTTAAGTACATTTGTTTTTCTTTTACTGTTTAATTTAGCTGTAAGCCAACTGTTGAGTTGATTATATATTAATATGGCAACATTTTCCATGTTAAATATTTGTAGGTTTTAAAGTGTTTTAAGCGCTTTATATTTCCAAATTGAAGTCCGGGAAAAAATCCCTGTTTTGCCATGTAAAATGTAAAATTTGAAATAAGGATAATCAAGTATAAAGGATAAAGGTGTTAACAGAGGAACACTTCTTTTAGGTTTTGAGTTTAATGTTAAGATGGATAGGAAGAGTAAAATTCTGGTCATCTCACCCCAATCTGTTCCAGCAGATGGTCACCCTCTCTGAGCCTGGTTCTACTGGAGATTTGTATTTAAAGGGAGTTTGTCTTTCTCCAAAATTTCATGAAGTGGTTACTTAACGAGATTTGGATGATTCTCTCTTTCATTTTTTTTTTAATCTGTAATGCTTCAGGGTCTTTATCTTGGTATAAAGTGCCTTCAGATAACTGTTAGAAAAAAACTGTTGAACTTAATACAGGGAAAAAACTGCACGCCTTGTTGCTCAGTTGCATCTTTTATTCATTCATCCAGCGTCTCTCGACATATTACATACAGCAGCTCTGCAGTGAAGCCTTTTCCAGCCAAAGTTACTTTTTCTTGATGTTTAAAGCTGCAAAGTCACACATTTGGATTTTAGATCAATAGGTCTGACTCTGTGGAATAATTTTCTTTAAAAAATTTGGTAAATAAGTTTTTCTGTTGTGTGAAGACAGAAAACAAAAACTCTTTTGCTCTCATCTGCCATCATTTCCACCGTGGAGTCTTCATTCAGCTCTGTTCTTTAAACACGAATATATATTCAAAGCTATATTTCTGTTATGCATATAATATCAAAGCCATCATTTCACAAAAGCATTTGCATTTCCGTTCATCTTCCTGAACTGAGATATTTTTACACTGACTTTACTTGGCATACACTCATAAAGAAACAGCGTAACTGGGAAAGAAAACCTAGATGATCATCAGATTCTGAATTTTTCACATGGTCACCATGAAAACACAAAAGTCATTTTGTTGGCGTTGAACTGCTTGAGACAATATGAGATTTTACAGTTTGATCCTTCTTAATGTTGTGCATCTACCCCGGTAAGAGTCTTCTTAAAAACACTCGCTGGTCAGACAGAAGGCCCATAAACATACACACTGGCACATGCATACACATAAATTCACTCAGTGTGTTAAAACAGTGTCTGATAATAGAGTTGTGATGGAGGGGGCGTCCACCTGACAGCTGTGCGCTGTATGTGTTTTCCTATGAAGGAACATGTAGGTTAAATATGCCAATAGACATAACTAAAGTAAAAATGAGGTATGTGATGCGTTCACCAACGACATTTTTTTTCATAAGGAAAGGAAAACTAAATAGAACAAATCGTCCATTTTCAGCAGGTCAGCATATTTTGTTTTTCAGGTTAGACTACTGATTGTTTCTTATGGTACAGTTTTGCTTTGCTCTTCTTTTCTATGTGCAAAACGTAGGTTCACTTCGATACATCAAGCACCTTGGTGAAATAGCTTCAGCAGCTATGTTTAGTCTTTTTTTAAGCTATTTCCTGTTGATTCACAATCTAAATATTATTTTGGCACTCGGTGACTAACTTACATTATTACATGACAGCCTTTTTGTTTTTCCACTATCCTCAAAGTGATTCTGCTCAACCATGCAGCTTTACTCAAAGATACAGCCTTCACTCTAATCTATAATAATAAGCATTACTGCTAAAAAAATAAAGATTATTAACAACACTTACATGACCCTTGAGTGACTCTATCATCCAGTACTTTAGTCGGTCTTTGAAGTGCAACAGACAGAGACTACGGTTACGTTCAAAACTAAAAAAACAACCTCCCAACACTGTGGTCATTGCTCCCTCACCTTTCCCGAAAACTACAAAGTTCAAAGCAGACTACGGTGTTTGTGGGATTTCAGATGTGACTCATATGAAATGATTGGAGCTCCAACATCGTCAAGATGATCAATGTGTGAACTCTCTGTGAACAGCAGGGTGGTTTGGTCTGCTTAAGGCTGACACCAAAACGATGGTGATATAGACATGCGACTTACTACGGTGACTATGTTGTATTATTGTTAAAAGTTTCTGCACCTGCACAGGAAATATAAGCTAATTCGGCCGTTTATTTACAGATTTAGGGTAAACGAATGTGTCCAAATGAATCAAGGAACAAATCAGCTTCTGCTGTGTCACAGATGTAGCTCGCAGGTTACGGAGGCCAAAATCTTGATTTCATTGTTTGGACTGTTTGCTTTTGCCATGTTATCCTTGACTAAATTCTGTATAATTGTTCTTTGTCAATGCATATCTTCTCCCACATCATTATAGAAACAGTCTTCTTGCACCAAATCGACCAGCTCAGTGGTCAGACGACTACTACAAATTTTTACGTTTTTTCAAAATATTTAAGAATTTGTCATAAAAATCCTGATGAAAAATCTGCCAGGAGGCCCACAGTTTTCAACTTATAGCCAACATACTACTGCCATTTTTCAAACAATGTGGTCCTCAAAGCAAACACGTACACTTTCTGAACTGGAGGCATCCGAGTGAGAGGAGTGACATTCAACTTTCCCAATTAACTCCTGTTATATTTGATCAAGGGCTTCAGGAGAAGAATAGAAAGAAACTCTTATATCATCTGGTTTAAGGCTTAGGAACACAAAACACCACAGATCTGAAGAGCAACTTCTCAGGATTTTAGTTATTTTTTCAAATCACTTTGAAATGACTTGAAGTTTTAAGGTTTTTACATACATTTCCCTTGTTATCCAGAAAACACCTCACTTTATTGGAAGGAGGCCTGTTGGTAGTCAAAGACTCAACTCTGTTGCTCCAGTAAAAATGCACATAATGTTTGCGTTTTTCTGATTTTCTTCTGTATCTTTAACTTTTCATTTATTGCCTCAGGTTTGCTTTGCCTGTGATTCTATTATCGTTTATGCAAGAGATATGGTGAACAGTTAATGCAGCTGCAAGCCACTAAAATGCTCTCTCGCGGCTTTTTATTAAACCTACATGTGTGGATAAAGATTCAAATTCAAAAATTCAGTGTTATATTATTTTAAGACTGAAGCTTCATTGTTTCCTGGAAATATTCCTGTAAATGTGACTTTAACTTTTAGAGCTTCAGTGACCATAAAAGCAGATCAGAGATGAGTTTAAGACGCTTACATTATCCTTCTTTTAGCTCGTGTCCGTTTGTGTAGAATGAATAAGTCATGCTATGTCTTCCTGTAACCACACTTATAGTCAGCTGACCCTAGGTCCTTCAACCTACTGAATCGTCACAAAATGAAGCACAATGACAGACTTCCTCGCTCAGTCAGTTCCATCTCGCTTTCCAAAGTGTCCAGAAAAAGAAATGACTCGTCAAACAAGTACGTAAACATGGTGTTGCCGTAGTCACGTAGTCAGCGCCCATTGTATCGGTGTGGTCATGGATGAACTTGAGATCGTGTGACCACAGCCGCTGTTAACGCTGGAGTGAGCATGTGTCATGTTCTCCCATTGCTCGAGGAAGAAGGTGGAGATACCGACGGCTTGTCGTTTTCTCTCGCTTCACTCTCCTCAGCGGGTGGAGGCACAGCAGACGGACTGAGAGGGGCAGAAAGAGAAATGCATCATTTTTTCCAGTAAAAACTAAACTCGCTCTACCTGTGAGTTCGGTGGATCACTATAATTTTCATTAAAGGTTTTGATATAAAGTGCGATATTTTCAGATGGATAAATATTACGGCTTTTAGGTAAATGGAGACAGTTGGCATAGATTTTCAGGTAATAAAGTCCAGCCAGTTAAGCATAAAGCTTATTTATATTTAAAGCTAAATAAACATATAGTAGTGTAGTCATAACTAAGTAATAACCATGTCTATCATGTGTATCAGGTGTATAAACAGGTAACAAATCAAAATAAAGAAAGTTGAAATAATATAATGCATTTTGACAAAAGTGGATTATAATAATAACTTTACTAGATACACATAATTAAAGCTGAATACACCCATACTGTAATGTTTTATAACCCATTTAATAAATGTTTATTTTAAATACAATATAAATTAGATATGCTGTATACACTGAAACTGCTCGAATAGTTTTTTTTTAAAGGAAGCTAAATAGATCAATAAAATCAACATCAAGTGTGTGTGTTTATGTGCGTGTGTACCTGTCTTCGCTCTGTGTGATGAGTCTCCTGCAGGTCTCCATCTGAACATCCAGGCCTCTCTTCATCGAGCACATCTCCATGTACTCGTGCAGGTGTCGGTTCATGTCGCTCTTAGCTGTGGCCAATTCCAGCTACAGTCAGAAAACTGAGAGTTAGACTAAATCACTCCAAGAATACATACGCATGCAATCAACAGCAATCTAACAGAGTCTCGGTCTCACTTCCTCACCCATGCAGTCAATATCAAAACAAATGTGAAAAAAAGTGCAAACAGACTCCCATTAAGTGAACGTTTGCTATTTCTTTTGTTTAACATGAGCACTTGTATAATCACTCATTCAAAAATCAGTCACTGGTTATTGTGAAAATCTTCAGGCTACAACTGAACTGAAGTTGTAGTCTGCAGTTTAAAGTGAGTTTTCAAACTCAGACCGCAGACATTCTGAATGTGTTCTGGCACCAATTCATGTTTAAATATTTTCACACACTCAACTCCTTAAAGTTACTGATGGTGTTTAGAGCCTTGTGGATAGCTTGTTTGGTTTAGTCGCTGATTTCGGTGCGATAGTCAAAAAGGCAAAGTTTGACGGATGTAGTTTCTGTCAAGTTATAGCTGGAATTTAATAATCAAATGTAAAAAATTGGAAGGATCACAGCTTTATTACATAGTAAGTCACATTTAAGCTGGGTGAATGATGACTAGGGGGTAAAATAAAGACACTTAGGTTAAAAAAAATCTCAGTCTAAACATACTCTGACCAGCGTTTCCTCTCTCACAGTAAACAAACCCATGGCTGGTTTATAAGACAAGGACAGAGCTTAGTTAGTCCTCGACTACGACTTGTTTTCACTGAAGCCTCTCATTTAATTTTTCTTTTCTAGCCTGGAAGTAGGCTTAGTCAATGTCTGAGAAACTATCTGTCAAAGTTTAGAGTTAGACTCAGAGTTTGTTAAACCTGCTTTCTTGAACAACCCCCTGACTATGTGCAGCCAAACTGCTCAGGCTTACATAAACTCATCTAAAATGTATGAAAGATGTAAAGAAAGGCCTTTAAAGTACTTTACAGTTTAGTAAAGATTAAATTCAGCAAGGCAGGCTACTGCCCCTTTAAAACAAAGCATAGTAATAGTATTTCACTTAATGTCATTATTTAGACATCATATTGTCTTGTGAATGCAAGACACAAAAAACAGTGCAGGAGACATAATGCATGCAGCAAAAATGAAAGAACAAACTGCCAGCATGTAGGATGAAGGAAGTTATTTAACATATAAAAGTACAGAGCAAGCGTCTGACCTCAATTTGGTCAATGGTCTCTTGGTATTCCTTCTCTCGAGATTTGAAAAGACATTCGGTGTCATTAATCACCTTTTCCAGACAGTCCTCCTGCTGAAGACAAACACGGACATGGAAATTTACATGCGATGAAAGGTAGTTATAATCGGTTTAACGTGTGCATCATCAGACATCACCGCAGACATAGAACCATCAAAGCACAGCTGTTGCAGTGCTCCCATCAGCTCACATTTCACTGACTTATTTCCCACGGGAGAAAGAGCAGGCTTTTCAAAGCGCACACAGCTGGTAAATGAAAACAAATACCTACATGCATTTCTTGGAAACAAACACCATGTACGCTAAATACAGGCTGGATTTGTGCGAGTGTTGTTTTGTTGCCTGAATTGGCCCGGCCACAGCAGAGCACCGAAGGGCAGCAGACTGAGCTTTGAAGGACTCCACTCTGCCTACTGTTCTGGATAAAGTCCACTTATAACCACACAAACAAAAGCTTCTTTGAAATCTGAAGCAATAATATCAAACCATGTGCACTTGGAAATTACAGTGCGCTTCCTCTACTTTATAAAACTCCTTTATGCAGTGACTTAAACAGTGTTTAAGCTGAAATTCTGAAACGTTTTTTTTAAAAGTAACAATAGATGTCAGATGTCTCTTTATAACTGCATTCACTCAGGATGAACATCTGAGACATGGCTGAGAGAATTTAGTAATTAGCCATGCTCTCTGTTTTTGCGACAATGACAAAAATAGAGAAGCACACATGTGCCAATTAAAGAAACAGTTTATTTTTAAACTAAAGAACCAAAGAAAGAACTTAAACTAGCCATGGGATGTGTAGTCAGTATTGCCAGCAGTGTGAGAGAGTGCGTGAGTGAGGAAACGGCATATGCAATGTTGTCTCGTGCCATGCAACAAACCAAGATACAACCAAAATCTCAGAAGTGTCTCTGGAGAGGAAAGCCACGCTGGCAGCTGAGCTCTGAGGGCGTTTGTAGAGCACACTGGGCCCAGGTGCTGCCAATCGTGCTAATTAGTCAGCACCTGCAGTACACGGGTGCTACACAGGCGGACTGAAATGCAGGTGGGGTGAGTGGGTCGTCTTGTGATGTTACCTGTGTTTCATTTTTTTTTTGTTTTCCCTGCACCTTTTGCAGATGCACGACAATTCAGAAACTCAATTTGACTGAAACCTGAAAGGATGGTGAGATGCCAACATATGGTAATGAAAATTCTTCCGTCTTTCAGAAAGATCGACAGTTACAGTCACGTGAAAAACAAAAAGAAAGAACTGCACAGCCCTGTGAAAAACAAAGTACCTCGTGTGAATGAGCAGACTGGATGACCACCTTTAGCACAAATAACCTTAAGTAATTGTTTTCTATATGACATTTTGTCTCTCACGTCCCTTTGGGGGAATTTTAGCCCACTCTTCTTCAAAGTGTTGCTTCAGTTTATTGAGGTTTGAGGGCACTTGTTTATGCACAAGTGTCTAACATCCCAGACCTGAGTCTGGTTGAGGTCTGGACTTTGATTGTGCCACCTTTAGACTTTGATTTTACAGATTTGCTGCTGTACATGTCCTGCTGGATGACCCAGTTTGGGCCAAGCTTCAGCTGTCAGACAGACGGCCAGATTTGACTCTAGAATACGTTGGTATGCAGAGGAGCTTATGGTCGACTCAGTAACTGCAAGGTGCCCAGCTCCTATAGCTGCAAAACAAGTTCATGTCACCCCCCACCCCACTGTTCCAGAAGTCTTGTGGTTTGTTCAGATTCAACTTTGCAAAACCAAGCTGTGCTACAATGGTTAAAGAGAATAGGCTTTCTCCTGGTAACCCTTACAAACAAGCCATACTTGTTGAGTCTTTTTTTTAATGGTACTGTCATGAACTTGAACATTTAATATGCTAAATGTGGCCTGTCGAGTCTGAAAAGTAGTTGCAATCTGTCAGAGCACTGCACAGTCAGCACTTGGGGTGAATTTGCTCTGAGCTTCTGGGAACACTGCGGCAGTGTACTTAGTTTTTCACAGAAATGAATAGAGCCTTGTGAAAAAGTGTTTTCTCACATGACTGCATGTGTCTGCTTACTAAGTGAGGTCTATAACTGGTGACCACAGATATCTGTCGATTTCAGTAAAACACAGGCTTGTTTATGCTGTGTGAATGTTTTGCAGAAAACGGTGATGGTGGGGTAACTTCTGACAGTCATAATCCTTTGCAATTAGTATTTTTAATATGCCACAACGATGGCTAAAGGTAAATCTTTCAATTTTTCAGCTTTTTTGAAGCCTCTATATGTATGTTCATAAATTAGCTCCTCTCTGGTAGCCACAGCTATATTTCTAACAACTTTGAGCTTTAAATCTTCACAGAGAGTTCTCTCAGTCTTAAACTTGAGTGACTGCTGCCTACCTCTCCCGGTGGGTGGGTGGGATCTGGAGGCAAAGTGCATCCTGGGAAATCCTCCCAAAGCAGCAGCGTCTCTTCAGTCTCCTCCCACGCTAGACTGTCACAGTCATCCTCAAACTCACATTCACGCCTGAAATTTTTTTTAAAAAAAGTATCAATGCACACACACAAATGCACATGGCCTGAAAAGACGACTCAGATTACAGTAATTACATTTGCAGACCACTCACAGCTGGTTTAGCATCCTCTGCATCTCCTCATTGATCTGATTAGCAGCAGATCCACAGTGCTCCTCATCTTTAACCACTGCTCCGTCACTTTCGGAGGTGCTGACGGGCTCGTCACACTCACTCCCATTAAAGGACAGAGGGGTTTGTTTACGGCGGCAGTTTAGCGATGGTTGGTTATTAGGAACCTGCAGAAAAGTTTGGGATTAGAGGATCAGACTAACAAGTAGACACTTGCTAAAAGCAGATAAAAAAAGAACCAGAGATGATGAGATTAAACAGTTTTACCTGATACATTTGGATGACGTCTTCACAGTTCCTCTGCTGGGCCACATCGCACAAGCGAGCAGTGATGTCGATCCTGCGGCAGATGTCCATGTCCACCTTCATCGCTTTCTCCTGGATTTTGCTGTCCAAATCTGACAAATTCTACAGAGAGGATGGATATAGGAACTGTTCAGCATCACTGGAAAACTGTACCAATAAGACTGATTATGACATAATAGTAGCACCATTTTCTTATACAGCACCCTAAAGATAGAAAATAAGACCCCTGAAAACTCAGGGGTCACCAATCCTCAGTCGTTTGATACCAGACCATGAGAGTTGAGGCTCAGTTGTGAAATTTATGGTTTTCGGGGGTTTTTTATCGTTAACTCGGTTTCCCTGGGTCTTTTCCCGCGTTGTAGTTGTGTGTCTTATTTTGAAAGAAATATTTATGCGTTACCATAACGACCGGAGAGCATTAAGGGGCAGAGAAGAGGATGTTACTCTCAATGTTGTTGGCGCATTTCAGTAGGACGCTGTTAATAAAGTTACAGAATTACAAGGTTGGGCACCGCTGCTGTAACTAAAGCAAGCTGTTTCACACATGGACTTGGAGAATCCTTCCTCGGGAAATCTCCTGATTGGTTTACGTGGAGGTACTGCAGAGTGTGCGGGATGCAGAAACCATGACGACTACTCGCTAGCTATGAATTCACTGGACTATAACCTGCAGTACTCTCACGTCAGCACAAATTGTTGCATTTGGACAGCAGACTTTGCACTATGGAGTTGGCAGGTTAAAGAGTTGGGTTGGATGTTTGCGTTCTCACAGCCACGTTTATCCAGGTGATGTCTAAAAAAAAAGTTCAGGGCTTCAGTGTGAAAGCAGCTTATAAGGACAAACTACCAAGTGAATGCAGAGGGACATCTGATAACTGTAAAGAGCTAAAACTGTTTGTGATTATTATATGAATGTATGAGCTTACATTGCTCAGGAGCCCTTTGAAGACAACCAGCTCCGTATTCAGATGCTGGACCCTGCGAACCAGCTCGTCCTGGCAGCCTTCGCTCTCCTGCAGGTCCTGCACACGCAAAAGAAGTCATAATGAGCAAATGCACTTAACCACAACTCTCTTTACTGTAGTTTTTGGGTCACATTGTGCAAAAAGATTTTATCTGCAAAGAGCACATTCAAATCCTAAATGCATAATCACTTCTGGGAAGCTCTAAATGAGTCTGACATCATGGTAACCCTCAAAGTCTCCCCGCTGATTTATTCACACGTGCTGCAGTTACAATACTCGAGAAGCATTTTTTTACCCTTTTGTGGGCTTAAAGTGCGGTGGTATTTCCTGTCAAATTGGGTCAGGTAAAGATTCCTCGCAATGGGGCACATGCTCAAAAACACATATACAGGAAACCACTGGGCTTAGAATGAGACCTTTGCCATGAAGTCAACATTTGGGGGGTAGGAGGCATTCATTTTGGGGGCTTTATCTGTCATCTCAGTGGTATTCATATTCTCGCTCTTAACTGTTACTGCACAAAAAAAGATGAATGTCACGGCTACTCTTCATCACATGTGTCTACATGTAGACTAAAAGCAGACTTCAATCAAACACTAATGCTAATCAAGCCAGAACTGTTAGACAGCATACTGAGTATTCATTTAATTTTTCAGCATTTCACTTTGGCTATATATAAGCTAAATTATGCCATAATGAATGGTTTCATTGTGGGGAAATGTGTTTATAAGGACACAAGTGCAAGAAATACAGTAATTGCAATTTGATGGTTGGCGACAGGCAGATATAAATACAACTTTCATGTCCTTAAATCCATTTTGGCACTGTTAGCAGTGGATGGTTAAGGGGTTTCAGGAAAAAAGCAAATCAATTAAAAGAGAGTGCACTAGCATTGGATGACTCATTGATAGCAGCTAAAGAAGCTAATAATCATTGCCAGCAAAGAGAAAGAGGTATGTGCTTGGCAAGATCAACAAACAGCTGCAGCACAATCTATATTTAACCAAACTAATCCGCCCTACTTCTCTCACTTTCATGAAACTATTTAACCTTTAACATTATTGTAAAGACGCCAACACAGCCTTAGCTAAAGCGTCTCATGCAGCATAGAATTAAAAATTTAAAGCGAACGGATATGTATTAACAAACATTCACACACACACACACGTCTTTAATTCTGTCACTTCAGAGAACTCACATCAGTTTTCTGAGGACTGCCTGACAGCAACTATTGCGGGTACTTGCCAAAATCTAACCTCTGCCTTCATAATAACATATAATCATTTATAATATCGAGACTTTCAGTCCCCACAGTGTGACTATATAAACAGATTTATGTTCCCCCATCTTGAGAAATACAAGAACAGACAAAAAAAAGGGTACATAATGTTACCTCCTGTAAGTCTGCAATCTTCTGTTGCAGATCCATCCTCATAGTGTATTCCTCTTCCCATCTAGGAGACACAGAGATAAGTTTAAGAAAGACATTAATAATCTTCTAGTTCATGTCTTCTCGGGTACAGAGATCAGAGACGAAGAACAAAACATAAATTAGGTCTTCATCAGCTCTTGACATTTATAAAAGCAGACAATGCTCCTGTGAATCAATTAATTCAGGTAGTTGAAAGGCTAAAGGGGCTAAAAGTCTATTTAAAATGCACCTCTAACTGCAACAATGACATTCTTGATGATTCATTACATCAAGTAATTCAGCAATCAAGGATCAACCAAACAAAACACACTTTCGACAGGAGATGGATAACAAGTTGCTTAGGAGCAGCAATTTACTCTGCACTCACTGCTGAGCACTGCCTACCTAAAAGTGGAATTAAATCAGTGCTGTAACACTTTAACAGGCGCTGGTGTAGATAAAAGGCTGAAAAGGCAACCACATGCTGCAGGGTTAAATGCAGTTGCCTGACTTCAGCTCTGACCTGAGGCCCTTTGCTCACTCTTCCCAGTTTCCAGGCAAAATGCCTAAAATAACTAGCATATGTGTGACCAGACATGTAGTATAAGTAAGTAAAGCTGTATTAGCATCTCCAGTTTGTTTGGAGTCTCCAATTTGTTTCAAACTAAATGTGAAACATGGTCACCGTCTTGGTTTTGGTGTTGATTAATGGCCAGAAAAGTGTTTTTGCAGAGTATTACATTGTTACAGTGAAGCTGACCTTTGACCCTTTGGATTCATCAATTTCACCAATTTAATTACTGTATGAAATATTGTTATTTTATAATAAGTGAATGGGATGGTTGTCCTGATACAGACAACCTGAAAATATTTTCTATCTCCACTGGAATCCGTCCCATAAACAAATTTTTCATTTCTAAATCATCAAAATTTACATTACATCTTTTTTTCTTTAAATGGTAAATGGCCTGTATTTATATAGCGCTTTACTAGTCCCTAAGGACCCCAAAGCGCTTTACATATCCAGTCATCCACACACTGGTGATGGCAAGCTACGTTGTAGCCACAGCCACCCTGGGGCGCACTGACAGAGACAAGGCTGCCGGACACTGGCGCCACCGGGCCCTCTGACCACCACCAGTAGGTAACAGGTGAAGTGTCTTGCCCAAGGACACAACGACCGAGACTGTCCAAGCCAGGGCTCGAACCGGCAGCCTTCCGATTACAAGGCGAACTCCTAACTCTTGAGCCACGATCGCCCCGATTTAAAGGTGGACATGGTCCAGGAAGGTCAGTAAATTGATCCTCAGCTCTTCCTGTCCATGTCTTGAAGTATCCTTGGGTAAGACACTGAACCCCAAGTTAGTGTGGGTGTAAATATTTGATAAAAATGCTTAGGCACAGATAAAAGTACTGTGTGAATGAGACTTGGAGCGCTCAAATTAAGTAGATAGGCTGTCATTTATCTGCACAAAAAAGTACAACTAGATTTCAGTCTAAGTGTTTGAGTCTCACACTAAAATCAGTTTACTGCAGTTATATTAAAGATAATAAAAAAGGTGTTCGACTGAGTGAATCACCGATCCCTCACAGGCCAACTCGCTGATGCATCTCAGACCATTGTGCCTGTGAATCTGATCTTCAACACATTTAAAAGCCTGAGCAGAGACTACTGTGTATGTGATCACAATCTCTGTGATTTCATACCACAAGGGGAATTTCACTCACTGCAGTCTGCAGCCTCTTATAAAAAAGCTGTTTAAAATGCAGAATGCTGCAGTACAAGAATCCCTAAAGGGAATACTAAATCTGAAATAAACTGAGTCATGAAACAGGGGTTGTTGTTGTCATAGCAGGTGCTTGTTATATCAGTAAGGACAGCGCGCACAGAAAACTGAGAGGCACTTCCTTCTGCAAGCCAAGCCCCCCTCCACCAGTTACATCTTGCAGTGCATGCTGCATTGCAGATACAGTATGGAGTGTAGAGAGGACGACGGTGCGCAGTGGAAGGAAGAGAGTGTGAGAAAGGAAGAAAAGGTGCGACTGTGTCGGTTTTAAAAGAGAAAGAAAATATGAGCTAGAGCGTGTGGTTGGCAGAGAGAGGGTTTTTTGGCAGTGACAGAAGGAGGGTAACGGGGGGAGAGACAGTTGTCCTTGAAAAAAATAAAAGAACAGTGCAGAGAGCTAGAGGAGGGTAAGTCTGAAAATTAAAATACACCACAAGCTGCTTTAGGTTGCAGTAAAGGTTCTAAAACAGATATAATAAAAATAAGATAACAAGCATTACATTATAAAATGGTATTAATATTTTAAAAGCTATGTAATAGCCTGAATCTGAGAGAATAAGTTTCGCATGAAGAAACATTTTGTGACGTCCTCATTTGTCCTGACTGAAGGGGGCTGCAGAGACCCCTCAAAACAACTCATTAAGGGAGGAAAAGACTTTGACAGGGACAAAGTGTGTGAAACCCCTCAATTCACAAATAAAATGTATATATGTCTGGACAGCAGGCTGGGAAATGACGCACACTAGTGTCTCTACAGACAGAGAAAGCAAGCGTCTCATCTGTCTCACACTCTCTGGATTGTTAAAGTCGTCAATGTGCTTCATACACAAAGAGCCCACTATACTGTGCTCAGGATCTCCGCTGTGAAGAATGCATGGCTGCTCAATTGGATATAATCTGAGGGAATTTAATGATGAATGCGCAAAGGACCTTTTTGGAGTTAACAAATAATTACAAATAATACACAATCCACCAAAGCTGTTGGACAAACTTCAAATTTACAACAGGATTTATGCAGTTTTAGATGTTATTGCTAAGCTTTCTGGAGAAAAGACCAATCACATTGTTCCATATTAGCGATTAAGTGATTGGCCACATACACAGACAGCTGTCTTTCTAAAATGGAGATCAAAGCATCCATATTTGAACTGGTGATGTCATCAGATAAAGTCGCATGAGCTCACAGCAGCAACTGTGGATTACACGATCTCATATTCTCAGCAACGGTTAATCCTCTTCTACTCATCCATCTCACTTTCACAGAATAAGAGTTGATGCTTGTTGTTCTGCATCAAAACCCTCCGATATTTAGTTGATTGTTGATAAGCTACAACCAGTAAATGTTCAACATAAAAGATTGGTTCTTACTTGAAATGGGGCTCATAGCCAAATCTCCCATAAATAATTAGTTCACTTAAATGTTGGCAAATGAGGCTGTAAGTAATAAGTCTCGACATAATATCCAAAAATACAATCCTGAATTCTATTTTCACATTTCCTCTCTGAACTTCTCTCTAGATAAAATCATTACTGCCTTTCAGCATAAAACATGATGGCTCTCCATATGAGTGACCACATGTTAATAAAATCCAAATAATATACTAACCTGCTAATATTTTCTTGCAGAACATAATGTGACAAAAAAACAAAGATGGGGCCATTTTTTTTCTTTAGAAAATGGTATCATCGCACAGTTTGTCCAGCTCAGACTTCACAGTTTAAAAACACTCAGATAAATGTCTGCAGCACTTGTGTAAGGACATCTACAACAACACATTCTTGGAAAGATAATAAACAATGAGACATTATCTTCTCTTTTAACATAAAAGAATGGGTGTTTATGTGTATTATTTAAATAATATTTGCTAATATGTAACTCTAAAAGCTGATACTGATGTTGGCATCTGACCCATAAAACGTGTACAAACTGAGCTAAATGTTTGGCTGCACAGAGGACGACCACTAAGCTTTGACCTTGATTCTACTTCATGTTTGTCCCCTGAGGTGTTAATATTTTTTTAGTGTATTTGTAGCAGCAGCACCTGCCTCTGTGATTAGTCATGTGATGAATGCAGTTCCAGGCTTAAAGTGATTGATGTAGAGTTTTTGTGCTGACTCTGTGGTGTAGCAGGAGACAGCTGGTCTGCAGTTGTTCTGCTCACTTCTCCAAAGTAAAGCATTACATACACTCAATAAAGCTACAGAGCAATCACAAGATTTATTTTTTTTTAAATGGCCCTGAAGGAACTGCAATAAAAGGTTTGGTCCATTTACCTGCGTTTATACTCATCTCTCTCCCTCTTCACTTTAGCCAGGACATTGTACAGGGCTCTTATCTCGGGGGTGATGGTGTCAATCTGGACACCAACTCCATCCGGGTGCACCCAGGATACTCCTGGGCTGGTCAGACGCTCAGCACCGGGGCCGAACTTGCGGGTGTGGTTGTAAGACCAGATTGTGCCCGGAAGGAACCGTGGAGGAGGGTTGGTGGAGGCTCCCGGACCTGTGCTGTTGTTAGTTCCCGTTTTAGAGCCAGATCCCGGGGAGTCCACACGGGGGGAGGATAGGCTGATGGTGATGGCTGGGTTGCAAGCGGCATTTGTTTGTGTTGCACTCGAGTTTTCAGAGGCTGCAGGTGGCAGGGCAGGCGCGAGAGGCGTTGTGAACAGTGTCGTAGGCCTCCTGGCCGAGTTGTTGGTGTTGTGGAAGGGCAGGGAGCCGGGCCTAAGCTGTATCGTTCCGACAAATCCCGTCTGCACGCTTACCTCCTGGGTGTGCGCTTGGTTCTCACAGCATCCACCTTTGCAGCCCTTGTTGGCGTCCAGCGCCTGCTGGAGCTGCTTCTCCAGAATCTTATTTCTGCGCTCTAATTCGTGCACTTTAGCCAAAAAGCATCTGAAGCGCAGGTTGAGAGTTTTGAGGACGCTGATGTTGGAGCCCAGGTCGTTTCTGAGAGCCATCGCAGCAGGGGGATGCGGCACAGGGCGGTGCTGATAGTGGCTGCTGTGATGGAGATAAGGTGAAGACTGCGAGGGTGCGGTGAAGTCAGGCCCCGAGCCGGGCTGCTCACCCAGCAGAAGGGAAGCCTCGTCCGGTGCACCGAAAACAGCGTCGGGAAGGAGACCTGAGGGAGAGTCCGGGTGTCCGGGCGCCTGGTTCTGCTGCGGATGCTGTTGGAGATGCGCGTTGGCCCCCAACAAAGGATTCATGCTATGGTATGGAAAACTGAATCGCTGCAGATCTGGCATGAACACGGACAGGAACTGGCTTGCTACAACAGAATATTGTTATAATATAGATAATAAGAAGTCTGACATCCAGGAACGGCGTGTGCGTAAAACGCCTATGGCCCCGTTCACTTGGTTATATAACTGTTTATAAATAAGAATCTTATCCTTAAAGCCCAAAGGTCTTAACGTCGGCTGATGGATCAGTGCTCTCTGACGATCCACAGAAAAAAAAACAGCCTAAATCAGGACAGATGGATTTGGAAGAAGACTACAGAACACCGGACGTGCGCCTCAGCGTGATGCTTTGCAATAATAAATGTAAAATAAATGAAGAAAAAGCCGCAGAGCATGAATGAATAAGAAAGAAATCCGGCGTCTCCGCGTTACTGAAGTTCTGGCAACAAGCTGTGACCGCAGGCAGGAGAGAGCGCTGCGGGATTGGAAGATCCGTCTGCCGTAAATACGCGAATAGAGGAGCCTTAATTAACTGTTTGCTTTCTTGTTCACATTTGAAATCATTAGCCACAGCTCCAAACAAAAAACATTAGAGGATTTAGTGAAACTGGACTGAACCGTGACGTCAGACCTGGAAATCACGCTTTCACTGTTTTGCGGTCATTTAAATTTAAGTTAGAATTAGTCCAGTTTTTTATTTAATTCAGCATGTTTGTTTATTCTTATTAAATCTGATGGAGAGTTAAACAAGAAGACTGCTATCCAATTCGCCAGTTACATGCCTAAAATTACTGGTGTTTATGTTACTTATCACACTATAGTAGCAAAAAATAAATAAAAACACCTCCTCTGTGTAACCCACTATCTTTCAATGTGACCATAAAGCTAAATCACCTGAGTGGAGCACTGTGGGGTTAATAAGTCCCATTAGCTCAGGCATCCCTGAGGGGAGGATGGCCCTTTAGGACAGGTGGGAGGTGCAAAGGAGACAAAAGACACAAACTTACTGACATGCAGGGGTGCTTTATGCTTCAGGGAAGACACCAGGGAAGGGGAAAAAATATAAAAGCTTTGTATTTTTAAATAAATATTTTTATTTTATTTTATGTTATTTTTTTACAACAGAAACCGGAGTTCGGTGGATCAGTTACATGGTGCTTCTTCCAGACAACCAGTGAGACTGAGAATTTATGGCAACAGAACAACTTAAAAGATCCTTTAACATCATGTATCACACTGTAACTCTAACATCTTAAAGTATAAATTTTAAAGTCATCCAAATCAGAGGGCAACACAGAGGTTTTCAGATATTTGTGCATGAGAGCAGACAGGGTCAGGCAGGGCTAACTTTGCATTGTATTTTCGTACCACTTGTCCATCGCTTTTATTAAAATAAATTTGCAGTTCACAATCAAACACTTTATTATTACATACAGAAAGTACAGTGTGATTTCTCCTGACATACTGAGTTGTGATCTGTAGACAAACTGGTTTTAAAAAAAGAATTGTGAATTTTGTTCCCCATCATAGATGGGTTTAGTTTGAGGTTAGGAGAAGGTGTCACCGACCTGCCGAGACAGATTTCAGGAAAGAGCTTCATAATCTTAGCTGAATGATGTGTTAGTATAGCTATATTGTGCATTGTTTGGCTCGGGTTCTCCTCACATTCCTCAGTTTTGTGAAAGACTGACAAACAAGAGGTTTGAAAAAAAGGCAATCCAGAGCTATTAATGCCACTGTAATAGGATCAGGTCTATGTCAGAGATGCACAGGTGGAGTCTGGGTGTCCACATCCTCAATGATTTATCCTGGATTGTCAGCACCTCCATGTGAATCCAAAAGGCATCACAGCAGCTGCTTTCTGAGGCCTTACCATCCTCCAGGATGGCACCAGAGGAGCCAGACTTCCAGCAGAACAACTATTTAATTATTTAAATCAATCAATCCACGCTTCATACGAGTGCTTTCAAGTCATTTTGTCATACTGAAACAAAATTAATTCAAGGAGTAGTGATGGTGCACATGTTTCTCTTCAGAATACAGATGCTTTAGCAAGTGTAAAAGAATGAATAAGGTTACACTATGACCTCCACAGTCACCAGATCTCACCTCAACTCCTAGATAGGATTTTTGGTGATCCTCTCCACTTCTGCACGCGTTTGTGTGTCCCATCATATTCACTGATCTCACCATTTGAGGTACATTAAGTACCAGTCCTAACATTGGCCTCATCTTTTATTTCAAACATTTTGCACAGTTTTTTTTACCCATCAGATATCCTCTCAGGGCTGCACAGCAGCTCCTCTGTGTTCCAGAGTTTGATTTCAGTAATGGGAAAAAAAAAAAAAAAACAAAAAAAAACACAACAACACACACAAACAACTTTGTTTAAAACTAAAGATTCTGTTATTATGAAACTGAATTTACCTTTATATACTTAAATGTTAATGTCTTGTCAGAAATTCATCAGGAACAGCACTTAAGCTCATTTTCCTTTCAGTAAATAACTAATCTACTCCTCCAGATCAGCCTTCATACATTTCTGTTCAGATATAAAGGAGGAACAGGAGACTGAATCTCACAAACGAAGGACTTTATTCCACCACTGCAGTACTTCAGTACTACAGACAAGCAAATACATTCACACCTTTACTCCAAACCCAAGAACAGAACAGGGAATTTGAAAAATAGAAAAGAAAAAAAGAAAAGCATTGGTCTCCAATTTAAATCTTCTTTTGCTCTATGTGGGACCTTTCCTCAGGCGTATTATGGGGGATGGCTACATGATGAAACCAGAGTCACAGAGAATACAATGCCTTTTTGTACATTTGTAACTCAGGACTAAGAAGAATGTGGGCTATGCGACAGTTCAGCGACAGCCAAGTTTACTCCTTGCTAGCCATGTGGGCCATCAGGTCGCAGACACGGTTGCTGTATCCAAACTCATTGTCATACCTGGTGAAGAGGGGAGAGGTTAGCAGGAAACACTGGCAATAAATAGAAAGACATTGAAAGTAACCAGTGTTGAAGGCGTACCATGTGACCAGCTTGACAAAGTGGTCGTTGAGGGCGATGCCAGCGCCGGCATCAAAGATGGATGAATGGCAGTCGCCGTTGAAGTCTGTGGACACGACCTTTAGGACGGGGAGAAGAGTGTGGCACATCAGCAACGAGATCCACAGACAAAATGTAGCCATGAAGTGACAAAGTTTAGGGCGTACCTGGTGCTCTGTGTATCCCAGAATGCCCTTCATGGGTCCATCAGCGGCAGCCTTCACAACCTTCTTGATGTCATCGTATTTGGCCTGAAAAAGCAAAGCAGTTATATTTGCATTTTTAAAGAAATAAAAACACAAGCGGTGAACCACATGTGTAAATCTGAATTTAAAATCAAAGTCATCCACCCGTTTTAAAAAGGAAATTTCTAGATCAATATTTTGTAAATTGCACGTGCGATACTCACTGGTTTCTCCAGACGGACTGTCAGGTCAACCACTGACACGTTGGGGGTGGGCACACGGAAGGCCATGCCAGTCAGCTTCCTGGGGGAAAAATAAATAAAATATTTCAATTGAGTACTGGAGCATTACAAAGCAAAATATTGTTTTAAATTGTACATTAGAGTAGTGTTTTATTTGCACTCACCCATTGAGCTCAGGGATGACTTTGCCGACAGCTTTAGCAGCACCAGTAGAAGCGGGGATGATGTTCTGGCTGGCGCCACGGCCATCCCTCCACAGCTTGCCAGAGGGACCATCCACAGTCTTCTGGGTGGCAGTGATGGCGTGAACTGTGCTCTAATAGACAAACAGAAAAATAAAAATAGGAGGACAATTAAAAATGTAGCTTAAACATAATATCTTCAAAACTGCTTAAGTGCTGTGTATGAATTCCTACCATCAGGCCCTCAATGATGCCAAAGTTGTCATTGATGACCTTGGCCAGAGGTGCCAGGCAGTTGGTTGTGCAGGAAGCATTGCTACGGAGAAAGAACATCAGTCAAGTTTTAATTTTAAAATTAAATGTTTTAAATGAATGAAATTAATTATAAATGCAAGATCAGTAAAGACTGTCACAGCTTTCATTAGAACAGATGTGTAGTTGTTATTCATTGTGTTCAAAATCTATTCCTAAATCTGTGATTTTGGCAGCAAAAACTCATTCATCTCCAAATATACCAAAAAAGATTCTTACCTGACAACATTGAGGGACTTGTCATACTTCTCGTGGTTGACACCCATGACAAACATGGGAGCGTCAGCGCTGGGTGCAGAGATGATGACTCTCTTGGCACCACCCTTCAAGTGAGACTACAGGATCGCATTGAAATCATTCAGTTTTCTTTTTGCACATCACATATAGCATACTACCTTTTTCTGCATTCACATTTTACATGATTTAGCACTTACAGAGGCCTTCTCAATTGTGGTAAACACACCAGTGGACTCCACCACATACTCTGCACCAGCCTCACCCCATTTAATATTGGCGGGGTCCCTCCTGAAGAAAGAAAATAGGGGTTATCTCTGAAACCATTACACAAATTAATAGCTTATACAAATATGGCAGGCGAACTCAACTTACTCGTGGAAAACTGTGATTTTGTGTCCATCGATGACCAGCTTGTCTCCCTCAACCTTCACCTCACCTTTGTAGCGGCCGTGGGTGGAGTCATACTGGAACATGTAGACCTAGAGAGGGGATAAGGAGAACTTTTTAAACAGGCTTCACAAAAACTGGGGGGGGAATAAGTCAAGTGTGTGTTCCTGGCTCCAAAAACAATAAATGAAATATGTAATCCACCCAGTTTGCTAAAATGATCAAATTCATACTTACTGGAAATGGAAGAAAAAAAAATCCAACAAGTATTTGACAAATAATTTTACTAGAATTATGTTATTCTAACATTCAGTCAAACAAAGCTTGTGGTGAGTTCGAGCTAACGCCTTATAGTCCTTTCATTTCCTCCTTGACTGACCATGTACTCCAGGTCGATGAAGGGGTCATTGATAGCGACAATCTCCACCTTCTTGGAGTGGAAACCAGCACGGGTCACCAGACGACCGATGCGGCCGAATCTGAAAAAATGAACAAGAGGCGTTTCTCATTCTGGCCAGTAGGTGGAGACATCACACCACATTAAACTGACTACAGTCACGTCTTTGAGTTTCGGTAAAATGAAGGCGCTTGTTAAGATGATAAATACGAAAATAGATTTAAAAATAATAATAAATCAGAGCAGAGTTTGATATTTAGTCAGAGGCTTCCCTGTAACAGTTTAGATTTTTCTTATGTATGGGGCGAGATCTCCCCAGAAGACCTGACACCACAGTAGAAAGGCCAGGGTTCAAGAGGAGGGGCTGAGGGGGGTGTGTGCTTTTCTCTCTGAGAGGCTAAAGTCGAAATTAACCTCCAATGTGGTAATCCTGGTTACACAGTGCACTGTTTGAACAACAGCAGGGTTACTTTTTAACCACAAGTCCAAAACTCCGGGCGCATAGATACACTCTGTCCTGAGA